TAGCAAACAGCGAATTCGAATCATACTATGATTTAAGGGTCACGTTGCACTATAGAACGACCACATCATATCATACGGCCGCAGACGGCCGCGTCAAAAAACCGCACAACAGCCATTTCTCACACGCCTATGCTCTCTATCAGGCATCAACGACGGCAAGGGCTTCGCAAAGTACTTGGACACCCTGGGCGTGTCTCGGCAGCAACGCTTTTAGCTAGATTCACATGACACCATCCAGACAGGTTGAAGTCAGGTGATCAGTTAAGCTCGGTCTGAGGACATGTTTGAGAGGCAGCATGAACAGGCTGTAGTTACTGTCAATCTTGTGCCTGAAAGGGATGTTTCAGTGCAGCCCATTCTGCCCAGATGCTTTGTGAGCGTCCATCACTTCAAGCGGTAGCTTGAGTCCTGCATGTCCATGATTTCGCACCTTGTGCCCAGAGCAGAATGTCTCTACTGCTTGAGAAGGCCTTGACGGTGAATGTGGCAGTCAATGCTGTGAAGTTTGCGTAGATATCAGGACGACCTGTTGATGGGATGTATTTCAAAGTGCAGCAAGTAACAGCTGCCCTGGGCTGCATGAGCATCAAGGCTTGCAGTGCGAACATATCACAGCGATGTGGTCCATGTCAGACTGGATGTGTGAGAGTGGGTCCTTGTCATAGCAAGGTCGCATTCGCGCTCTCGAATTCCATGCAAGGTCTTTGCGACTGAAGCTGGCGAGACCATGCCCGCCATCCGCGAGCGTTTGCTGAAAGCGGTTTGGCCAGCAGTGAGTGCAAGGCATGTCTCGCAACCCCCCCAATATGTGAACAAGACATATAGCTTGGAAGTGATGTGACTTATTTTGCAGCACGTACTCTCGGCTTGCGTCCGAAGTACATCAGGTGTTGCTAAATTTGCGCAAGGCTTTCCTCCGAATTTGCCTTTGTACCCGAAATCTGGCTGCGGAAGTACCCAGGGCTCCCAGGGCTGCCTTGGAAAGACGCCTCAGGTAGACATCAACCCCTTTGGGCCCCAGCTGCCAGTGAAGCGTTGCTTGGCCGAAGGGTTCGGTGCTAGGTGAAGGGGAAGAGGAGCTTAGCTCCGTGAGCGCTCACGGAGCTCAGTGGCTCACTCAGGGGTCATTATGTTGACGGTTTCTGGGGGTGATCAAAATCAGAAATGGGGTCCACTTAGGGGGTGACTTTGACCATGGTAAAACAATGAGTCCAGTCACTGACATACCCAAAAGTTACTCGGCCACCTTGATCATTTCGAGCAAACAGACCTCGTCTCTGCGGAGCAGGCCGGAAGATGTGCTCATTGTCATTCGAAACACCCGGGAGCTGTGGTTGACAATGGTTCCGCAAACGGTCCACGCTGCCTTGTTGGCGTTGAAGCCTTTCCTGTCAATGGATTGATCACTGAATCAACTTGGAACACAGTGAGTGTGCAGAGCTGGAGGCTTCAATGTTTTCAACCGGTCATGAGATCGACATGCAAAGTTACCCGTTAGTCTGCTTGCGGATCTGAAGCCTTGGAGCACAGAGTTGAGCACAACTGGATGGGACGAATTGATCTCTTGTCAGGACGTCGCTGAATCAGGAACCTTCAAAACAGCCATTCCACATGAGTTTGGCTGAACAAATGAGGGGCCCTTCCATTTTGAAGGCTGCACGTTGCTGCCTGCTTTGACCTGACTGGTTCCGCTGTGGAAACCGGCCCGAACTCAGGGGATGCAGCGCTATTGGCGGGGCGCCCCGGGCCAGGGCATGTGAGCCACGTGAATACCATGTGTTAAGATTGTCTAATTCCGGCCATTGCCTGCTGAAGGCGAGTTCGCAGCTTGCGAAGTATCAAGTCTCTTGCAATGTTGCCGAGTCATGGGGCCAAGTGTGTGCACCTGAGGGCCAAGAATTTTGCATGGGTTATATCTCCAAGGACCAGTACTTGCGGATGATCTTCCAAAAGTACGATGTTCCACAGGACTGACGTGTAGGCACTTGGAATTGCAGCACTCAGCTCGGGGCTGGGGGGTCTTGATGTCTTGACGCAATTCATGTGCAGAGAACACCGTGCCAGACTCATGGAAGTTTCTGGGTGTTGGCGCGACCTTGGTGTCACCCCACCGCCATTTGGCCCGACAGGACCGGAAGAGCATACTTTGGCAGCAGCTGAAGCTGTTGGGGTGCCTCGTGAACCGCCACGGGGCGCAGGTTGGGGCTGTGAGTTCGTGGTTCGACGTGTCCAGCGCGTGTGACGGGGCTGAAATGAAGCAGAGTGACGCGCGATTCGATGAGTGGTGTGAAAACAGGTCTTGGCGAATTCTATGAATTGCAAGACAAAATGTGGCAAAAGCAGTCTTCTGCGACCCAAAATATGGCAGTGATGGCAGCACTCCAGAGTTGCCAACGCATTTATGTCCAATGTGCGCAGGCAGACGACCACAGCGAAGAGTGCTCAGCGTTGCTGGCAAAGAGAAAGTCGTTTGCAGCTTGCCTATATTTTGTCTATTTGCTTTGCCAAGATATGCAGTGGTTTTCTTTTCACTGTACAATGAGAAGTGCAAGGTCGAGACTCTCTGCCTGGCACGTGGCAAATGTTTAGGCATTGGTATTGAAGGCATTGTATGATTCCCGCACTGTGAATCGTCCGAGGTAAGCCTCGACACCCACAAGGGAATCGAAGCTTTGGTGCAGGATGCGCGCTCTAGGGTTCGTGCATGAATCGACTGCCTTTACTCCTGTGGTTGTGAGTACTAGGCGCGTATTGCTTGCTGCGTTGTTTTTGTTTCTTGCTTCAAGGAGCAGCGGTATGTTGTTGCCACGTGTCATTCACTATGAGACGGGAAACCCCATTGGCGGCAAGCGCACGGGTAAAACCTTCGCACACGTTGGGCATGGCACTTGACCTTGGTGGCAACTTGTGTTGCCCCTTTGGCTGGGCGATGGATCCAGCGTTGAACCACTTTGCTGATATTGATATATATATATATATATATGCGACTCACAGTTTGTTTTGAAAAAATGCATGTCACAAATGCATATTTTGATTTGGTCCTTTTAGGGCCTTGGTCAAAATGCATGTCACAAATGCACGTTTTATTCAGGGTCTTGCGAAACGCATGTCGTGAGTGCATGTTTCTTGGGGGGCCTTGACCAAGATGCGTGTCATTCGGAGTTGTGCAAAGCGCATGTCAAACACGCAAGTTTCTAAGGGTCTGAAATGCATGAGTAAAACAAGTGCATTTGTTCTTGGAACATCCAAAAGACACGCACGCTCCTCCCCAAGTAAGTGTTTTTTCATAGAGCAAATGCATTTTATCAAGGCACACATGCATTTACTGACAAAAGCAGGCACTGTCTCGTTTCTTCCAGAAAAAGGCAACTGCATTTTTAGCGGCCGACATGCATTTTTTCCAGAGCTTTGTTTTTGCGAGAAAAAACACATGCATTTTTGACATGCATTTATTGGGGGTGGGTCAACAAAACACGCATTTTTGACATGCACTTCCTCACCTCTGGGCAAAGGCTCAAAATCTAGCATGTTCCTCGAGGATATGCATGTGTTAGGCCTGTGCAAAATGCAAAAACATTGGACAACTCAAGGAACATGCATTTTTCTGGATTCAACATTCATTTTTACCACCTGGAAAAACACTCAAAAAGTAGCATTTTCCTCGGGACATGTGTGTTTTTGTTTGGGAACATGCATGTTTCATTGTTGTGTCCATGGTTTTTGCATCTGTTCAGTCCAACAAATGCATTTTCTCGAGGACAATGCTAGTTTGTGAGCGCTTTTCCAAGGTGTAAAAAATGCATGTTGGATGCAAAAAAATGCATGCTGGATCCAGAAAAAGCATGTTTCCTCGAGAAAGTGCATGTGTTGGACTGAAAAGATGCAAAAACCATGGAGACAAACAATGAAACATGCATGTTCCCAGACAAAAACACGCATTTTCCGAGGAAAATGCTACTTTTTTGAGTGTTTTTCCAGGTGGTAAAAATGCATGTTGAATCCAGAAAAATGCATGTTCCTTGAGTTGTCCAATGTTTTTGCATTTTGCACAGGCCTAACACATGCATATCCTCGAGGAACATGCTAAATTTTGAGCCTTTGCCCAGAGGTGAGGAAGTGCATGTCAAAAATACGTGTTTTGTTGACCCCCCCAATAAATGCATGTCAAAAATGCGTGTGTGTTTTTCTCGCAAAAACAAAGCTCTGGAAAAAATGCATGTCGGCCGCTAAAAATGCAGTTGCCTTTTTCTGGAAGAAACGAGACAGTGCCTGCTTTTGTCAGTAAATGCATGTGTGCCTTGATAAAATGCATTTGCTCTATGAAAAAACACTTACTTGTGGAGGAACGTGCGTGCCTTTGGAGAAAACGCACATGTTCCAATTCCAGATGCACTTGCTTGACTATATTTGCATAATTGTCTTGCAAATAAGAGCAGTTTTCCAAAATTACAACTGCATGCGTTCAAGGGAAACGCGAACACTAGCTGTGTGACACGCAGTGTTTCTTGAACACAAACATACTCCAGTAAAACTTACCTAGTTCTGCTAGAACATAGTACTAATATGTTTGTTGTGTCAACATGTTGTTTGTTTTTTCTTTCTTTCTTTTTTAAGGATTTCAACATGCATTTTGAACATGCTTTAAAAACAAAGAGACACAAAAACAACAAGTGTGTGGCTGAAAAATAAGTCATAACTCAGTACTGCTTTTTGTCAGGAGACGCCGACTCCGTGCCACTCATTCTTGGGCGACTTGTCTGTATTTGCGACCACTTGTTGGCCTGAGCTTGACATATGTAGCCATGCAAGAGACCGCATTGATGGGAGGTGAGAAGAGGGTGTTGGCTGCCCTCAGCGCCAACTTTTTGAGTGACCTGAATTCCTCCAAAGCCTTTGTGCTGCATGCGTGCCTGCATGTCCCATCAATCAGGCTTCCGGCCATTTGGCTTGCAGCGTTTTGGTCCCACCTCCTCGCGTCTTGCAAATCGCGCCTTTCTTCCATGGCGCACAGCAGCCTGTGGGTTTTCGATCCGGAGCTGGCGGAGCATTTGCAGGTGAGCGCGAGACAAGACAGTGAGTAGCTTGCTGGGGCCAAAACATCTGGGAAGACTTGGGAGAGTCCCCATGTTGGCTCACTCTAGTCATCTTTTGAAGAATTGGGTCGGACGGTCATGCGGCAACCCGGCATCATCCCCAGATTTGTCAGTGGGATTACACTGAAGTTCTAGGATGCATGATCCAGATCCATGACTACAGCAAATCCTTCGGATGTTCCGCAATCAAGTGTCCATGGGTCAAAATCCCGTACCCCCAGTGAACATCCCAATCCCCACTAAAATAGGTTCTAAAATGGGTGGTGCACCTACCCCAAAATCGGATCCCATTGGTTTTGACCCACACCCAAGTGGCTGAGTGGCTGCTGCTCTGTCCCCGCCGGGGCTCGCAGCTTTTGTCAGGTGGTGGATGGCCTGGACTTCAAGCTGAAGGCGCCTTCGGTTTGTAAGCCCCGACGGACGCCTTTGCAGGATGCCCGTGTGCCAATGAAAGATGACGGGGAGGGAAGGTGTGGGATACGTTTTCTTGGGGGGGCGTCTCTGTCCACTTCCATTGTTGGCAATAAAAAAAGGGTGAACCGGGTCAATTGGGCTATAGCAAAGGCTGCTCGGCAAGCTGGAAGTAGTGGGGAGCCAGCTGAAACTGGTGGAATTCATTGATTTTCTCTCTAAAACTATATCCTAACTACGGTTCCCAGGTTGCACTGAGATAAATAAAACTCGTGGAATCCATTCGTTTTCAAACAAACACCATATGCTAACTACGGTTCTCAGGAGAAATCTCCTGGCCAGTCCGTGCAGCTCAGCGATTTCTTCGTGATCCAGGGGCTGGAGGACTCGCAGTGCTCGGAGCCCGAGCGCTTCTACGTCTACCGGTACTCGAGCCTCGCGGGCAGGGCGAACAAACTGCTGGATGGGCCGTGCACCGAGGAGAGGGCTGGATTGGTGCGTCAACTGACGGGCTGCAGACATGAAGGTATGTGCTGTTCATAGCATAGAACATATTGAAAACGTATATCTCCATGTGTGAGACCATGGGTTGTTGGAGGTTTGGCACGGGCTATGATTCCCTATACGTGTTGCAGTCTGGCTGCAAAGGGTGTCTCCCTTTCGTCACACACAGGAGGCCATGCGCCATGCTTCCGCTCAAGCCTTGGGACGTTTTAAGGGCCTTGGTTATAGCCCGCAAGCTGCGCTGCCCTGCGAGTGCCTTGGCATGCCGTGCGAGTGCTTCAGAATTCACGTTCGGAGCCCTTGTCCTTTTGCTTGAAACAGTGGTTCAGAGTTTGGGGGACATTCGGGGGTCGTCAACCGTCTTGAGCCACCCCCAGCAGATGCTGCAGAGATGCGGACTCGCTCCGCATACTCAGATGCAAAGAGCACAATCTATTCCGCGCACTGGTTTAACAATGGCAGAATTGGACGCGTCTGGGTACATGGACCATTAGAGTAGTTTGAGACTAGGACTCTGCGAACTATACCGCTTGATGTGATCTGGGCACCAAGCTGTAGCTACTTTCTAGGGATTTTTGTGTGGCAAACCAGTGCGTGGTTTGCTTCAGCATGATTTACGCTTTTTGAAGCGCACAGTCAGTGTCCAGCGATGTGTGGCTGCTGGCCGGCCTTGAGTGAGGCACCAGTTGTGTTTGCCAGCAAAGAAGGAGGAGAAGGCGCGCTGGCAGTACTACGTGGCTCGGCTGCCATTTCACCGTCGATGACTATGTCTGAGTCTAGGTCTAATACGACATGCCCAGCTGATTCGCTGGATCTGAGCTAGTTTTTGAAGAGACCCCTTACGCACGGGGCTCCGAGCGGATAGGCGATGCGGTCGAACGCGGCGCAGGTGGATGACTGCGTGGACGGCAAGCGCCGGGGCTGGCACCCCTTCGAGGCCAAGGCGGCAGCGCAGGTGGAGGAGATTTACCGCAGGAGCCGAGAGAAGGCCAGACGGAGAGGAAAGGAAACGGGGTATAATATGTATGTGGAGTATGTATCCTATTAATATTATATAAATATTGTATAATATATATATATAGAGAGAGAGAGAGAGAGGCTTCATGGTAGTTTCATCTGCAATAGAACCACTGCAGGGCCCCCGGCTGTTTGGGAATGGCATTCACCTTAAGTCAGAAAGGATGCAAAGGTGATATTTGCTTAGGGCCAGCCGTCGCCCGCACAACTGCCTAGTGGCACTGCAGTTCCTTGAGTGCTTTGGGCATTGAGGTGGTTGGATCGCCAGGTGGTTTCTTCCAGTTTGTTTTCCTACACAGTGGACTTGGCCGCGGGCACCCAGAGGAACACCAAGACCGGCAAGGTGCGCCAGATCCGCCGACTGCCAACTCAGCCGGTGAGAAAAGCACCCACCAAACGTCCAGGCGGCGTCTCGGAGAAGCTGAAGGTGAAGAAGACCATAACGAAGGCGGCTGTGAAGGGCCGGGCCACAAAAGCAGCTAAGCTCGGAAGACCCAAGGCCGCCACAGCTGGGAAATCTGTGAAGCCGAAATCGAAGGCGAAGCCGATGAAGCTCTCGAAGCCGAAAGTCTGCTCCATTGCCAGCGGCCCTCGTGCGAAATCTTTGGTCTGGTGCGGCAAGAAAACGAAGACCTCGACTGGCTTGAAGAAGGACCACGCATGTTGTGTTCTGCAGATGAGGGTTCTGCCTCCTCCAATCCCCGGGATCTGCTTTTTGTGTCGGAGGGCATGTTTGTTGCATGTTCCCCTCCCTTATTATCCTTTTCCCTTCGGCCATTTTGGCGGTTGTGCCCCTGCCTCGCACTTCGGGAGGTGTACGGTTCGTAGTGGCGTGGTGCCCCGCCGGTTTCAGGACTGTGGTTGCATTGTGGTGTTCCTCGTTTTCCCCAAACGAATTGTTCATTCCTCTGGACCTGTGGCCGTTCTTGCTCTGTTCAAGCCCCTCTGTCCTTGCTTCAACCACGAACACTTGCCGTACTACCCCTGTGTTCGACACGTTTTCCAGGAAGACATGACGAAGAACAAGTTTGGGAGGCTGGTGAGCAAGCGCCGGTCGGCCGCAGGGCGCACGGCCTTTGGCCGCGTGAGCCGATGGATCGCCGCCTGCAAGCAGGCGAGAGCTGAGCTGGGCATCACGGGCTTCGTGGCCATCACGAAGGGCTCTGAGCTGTGCCTCGGAAACCTGGAGAGCGGCTGGGAGCCCCCCACCCGGCCCGCCCCCAAAAAAAGAAAGGGGCTGGGAGCCCCCCCCCCCTCCCCGCGCTTTGAGCGGCAGAAGTTGGTCGATTGCATTGTGGTTGGGGCTCATGCTGGCCTGTTGGACCTTGTCAACACTAGTTTTTAGCCCCTTTCTCTTTATGCTTTGGGTTCGGGGTGTGCGTGTTTCCTGGCGCACCGCCCGACAGAAGGTTGGCAAAAATCAGTTCCTTTTTCCGTCGTGGGGATTCAGTATCGTGTGTACCCTTATGTTGCTGGCCTGTCTCAGATTTAGTGTGAATGCCTCTATGTCCCTTGCGTGGCTTCCTGCCTGGATGTAATTAGTTTTTGGTGGTTTCGAACCACTTAAAACAGACTTTTCCATTTTGACAGAGAGGACGCAGAACGCAGCTCAGGTATGAGAAAGCCAAGGAGTTATACCCGCATGTTCAGCCACATGTGCTTGGGTGAATCTTCGAGCAGACATACAGCAGGGGTGCGTCCCACAGTTGCTCTACTTCTCAGCATGGGAAAGGCCTGCATATCAAAAAAGAGTTTGCAAGAGGCTAGAAAGGGACGGCAGGATGTACAGCACCTGCCATGTACAGCCGGTGAGCTGTATGAAAGACACAGTTTGCCGATTTTCCAAGGCTCATGCCATTGCGAATGCATGGATTTGGCCTCGTACGCCGCTCGAATCAATGCGAATGGATCCTGCAGAGGGAAAAAAACTGCACAAACCCAAGGGGTGGTTTGCGCCTCCAGTTCGCTTAAACCGAGCGCCATCGGCAATCAGGATGTAGACATTGAAAACCAACAATGGCCAGTCAGTCTTTGAGCATACAATCGTCACAAATTTGCGCACTTGACCCTCTTGACTGTTCACTTGCCCCTGTGCGTCATTGTTTCACAGTCCGTGTTTGAATCGCCCTGAATCTGTCGCAAAGAGTCCAACAATTGACGTGCTACAGCTGACGGAAGAAACCGGGCGAGGGGTTCGCGCAGTATGACCTTTATGTGGGTCACCTTCCGCCCGAACAAAAATTGAGAGTTTTCACAATTATGCCGTTGGCAAGCTGGACTTGAACACTTAGCCAACTTCACAGTTAACGTTGAATCAACGCGACAGTCAACGCTACAGTCAACGCTACAGTCAACGCTACGAAAATGCTGGCAGGGGCAGCATTTGGAGCAAATTCCTTCTTCATGAGAGTCTTCAATCTTTTCAGGAGAAATTGCTGGATCCCTCATAGACATGTTGTTTTGTTAGTATTTGCGTTGACTGTAGGGCTGACTGAGCTCTGACTGAGTGTTGAACCTAAGGTTGACTGAGGCTGGCATGTTCCACTGCCATAATCAGTGTTGCCTACAATTGCTTGAGCTTTCATGAGAACGTTGTGCATGTGGCACTCTGCTGGACGACACTGCATTGATGAGGAGGCGCCAACTTTTTGAGTAAGCTGAATTCCTCCAAGGCCTTGTGCTACACGCGTGCCTGCATGTCCCATCAATCAGGCTTCCGGCCATTTGGCTTGCCATTTCGGCCCAGCGTTTGGTCCCAACTCCTCGCGTCTTGCAAATCGCGCCCGCCTTGCATGGCGCACAGCAGCCTGTGGGTTCTCGATCCGGAGCTGGCGGAGAATCTGCAGGTGAGCGCGGGACAAGACAGTCAATAGCTTGCCTGGAGCCAAAACATCTGGGAAGACTTGGGAGAGTCCCCATGTTGCCTCACTCTAGTCATCTTTTGAACAGTCTCCTAGAACGGTCATGCGGCAACCCGGCATCCCCAGATTTGTTAGTGGGATTGCACTGCTGAAGGATGCATGATCCAGATCCATGACTAAAGCAAATCCTTTGGATGTTCCGTAATCAAGTGGCTGCTGCTCAAAAAGTGGCTGCTCGAAACTCCGTGTCTCGTCGCGCCTTCCTTTTGGCAGGTGGTGAATGGCTTGGACTTCAAGCTGGCACAGGCCAGGGACCATAGCATGGCAGGATATTTGGCAGGTTTGGGTTCATGGTTGTGGAAGAAGTGACTAGAACTAAGCTGAAACCAGTGGCATCCGTTGATTTTCACGCTAATCCCAAGGACGGTTCTCGGGTCATGAAGAAGCTCAGCAATTTCTGCGTGATCCAAGGGCTGGAGGACACGCAGTGCTCGGAGGCCGAGCGCTTCTACGTCTACCGATACTGGGGCACCACGGGCAGAGGGAGCAAACTGCTGGATGGGCCGTGCACCGAGGAGAGGGCTGACAAGTCCCAGGATTGGTGTTTCAACTGTATACGGGCAGACATGAAGCTATGTGCTGTTCATGGCATAGAACTGATTCCAAAGGTGTATCTCCATGTCGACCATGGGTTGGAGGTTTGGCGCACAGGAGGCCATGCGCCATGCGGCCGCCCAAGCCTTGGGAGAGAAGAAACACCTTGGTTATAGCCCACAAGCTGCGCCCTGCGAGTGCCTCGGCATCTGCGAGTGCCTCAGAATTCACGTTTGGAGCCGGACTGTGTTGTCCTTTTGCTCGAGTCCTTGAAATAGTGGTTCAGTATGTTCAGTATTTGGGGGAGATGTGGGGGATATATAGGGGTCGACAACATTCCTGAGCCACGCCCAGATGCTGCGAGAACGGAGCGATCGATGTTTCTGCAGAGATGCGTGCTCCGCGCATTCAGATCAGATTTCCTCATACTTTAGAGGTCTGAATCATTATATATCGCCTTCTATTCTAGACCTAAAGCATTAGTTCTGTACGCGCCACAGCTTTTCCTTATAAAGGTCTGCATCATATTCTTATTGTCCTCGTATTCTCGAACTAAAGCATCACGTTTTTTCTTTTTTACGTGCAATCAGAACACACAATCAATTCCGCGTACTGGTTTAAGAATGGCGGAATTGGACACTTCTAGGTTATGCATGGCCGAAGTTGAAGGCAACACCACATTAACTTGAAACTAGGACTCTGCGAACTATGCGAACTGATGTGATCTGGGAACCAAGCTGTAGCTACTTTCTAGGGATCCAAACAAGTGTGGGGGGGGGGGGTTGCTTCACGCCTGAAGCGCACAGTCAGTGTCCAGCGATGTGTGGTTGCTGGCCGGCCTTGAGTGAGGCACCAGTTGTGTTTGCCAGCAAAGAAGGAGGAGAAGGCGCGCTGGCAGTACTACGTGGCTCGGCTGCCATTTCACCGTCGATGACTATGTCTGAGTCTAGGTCTAATACGACATGCCCAGCTGATTCGCTGGATCTGAGCTAGTTTTTGAAGAGACCCCTTACGCACGGGGCTCCGAGCGGATAGGCGATGCGGTCGAACGCGGCGCAGGTGGATGACTGCTTGGACGGCAAGCGCCGGGGCTGGCACCCCTTCGAGGCCAAGGCGGCAGCGCAGGTGGAGGAGATTTACCGCAGGAGCCGAGAGAAGGCCAGGCGGAGAGGAAAGGAAACGGGGTATAATATATATGTGGAGTATGTATCCTATTAATATTATATAATATATATATATAGAGAGAGAGGCTTCATGGTAGTTTCATCTGCAATAGAACCACTGCAGGGCCCCCGGCTGTTTGGGAATGGCATTCACCTTAAGTCAGAAAGGATGCAAAGGTGATATTTGCTTATAGGGCCAGCCGTCGCCCATACAACTGCCTAGTGGCACTGCAGTTCCTTGAGTGCTTTGGGCATTGAGGTGGTTGGATCGCCAGGTGGTTTCTTCCAGTTTGTTTTCCTACACAGTGGACTTGGCCGCGGGCACCCAGAGGAACACCAAGACCGGCAAGGTGCGCCAGATCCGCCGACTGCCAACTCAGCCGGTGAGAAAAGCACCCACCAAACGTCCAGGCGGCGTCTCGGAGAAGCTGAAGGTGAAGAAGACCATAACGAAGGCGGCTGTGAAGGGCCGGGCCACAAAAGCAGCTAAGCTCGGAAGACCCAAGGCCGCCACAGCTGGGAAATCTGTGAAGCCGAAATCGAAGGCGAAGCCGATGAAGCTCTCGAAGCCGAAAGTCTGCTCCATTGCCAGCGGCCCTCGTGCGAAATCTTTGGTCTGGTGCGGCAAGAAAACGAAGACCTCGACTGGCTTGAAGAAGGACCACGCATGTTGTGTTCTGCAGATGAGGGTTCTGCCTCCTCCAATCCCCGGGATCTGTTTTTTTTTTTTTTTGTGTCGGAGGGCATGTTTGTTGCATGTTCCCCTCCCTTATTATCCTTTTCCCTTCGGCCATTTTGGCGGTTGTGCCCCTGCCTCGCACTTCGGGAGGTGTACGGTTCGTAGTGGCGTGGTGCCCCGCCGGTTTCAGGACTGTGGTTGCATTGTGGTGTTCCTCGTTTTCCCCAAACGAATTGTTCATTCCTCTGGACCTGTGGCCGTTCTTGCTCTGTTCAAGCCCCTCTGTCCTTGCTTCAACCACGAACACTTGCCGTACTACCCCTGTGTTCGACACGTTTTCCAGGAAGACATGACGAAGAACAAGTTTGGGAGGCTGGTGAGCAAGCGCCGGTCGGCCGCAGGGCGCACGGCCTTTGGCCGCGTGAGCCGATGGATCGCCGCCTGCAAGCAGGCGAGAGCTGAGCTGGGCATCACGGGCTTCGTGGCCATCACGAAGGGCTCTGAGCTGTGCCTCGGAAACCTGGAGAGCGGCTGGGAGCCCCCCACCCGGCCCGCCCCCAAAAAAAGAAAGGGGCTGGGAGCCCCCCCCCCCTCCCCGCGCTTTGAGCGGCAGAAGTTGGTCGATTGCATTGTGGTTGGGGCTCATGCTGGCCTGTTGGACCTTGTCAACACTAGTTTTTAGCCCCTTTCTCTTTATGCTTTGGGTTCGGGGTGTGCGTGTTTCCTGGCGCACCGCCCGACAGAAGGTTGGCAAAAATCAGTTCCTTTTTCCGTCGTGGGGATTCAGTATCGTGTGAACCTTATGTTGCTGGCCTGTCTCAGATTTAGTGTGAATGCCTCTATGTCCCTTGCGTGGCTTCCTGCCTGGATGTAATTAGTTTTTGGTGGTTTCGAACCACTTAAAACAGACTTTTCCATTTTGACAGAGAGGACGCAGAACGCAGCTCAGGTATGAGAAAGCCAAGGAGTTATACCCGCATGTTCAGCCACATGTGCTTGGGTGAATCTTCGAGCAGACATACAGCAGGGGTGCGTCCCACAGTTGCTCTACTTCTCAGCATGGGAAAGGCCTGCATATCAAAGAAGAGTTTGCAAGAGGCTAGAAAGGGACGGCAGGATGTACAGCACCTGCCATGTACAGCCGGTGAGCCGTATGAAAGACACAGTTTGCCGATTTTCCAAGGCTCATGCCATTGCGAATGCATGGATTTGGCCTTGTACGCAGCTCGAATCATCCTGCAGAGTGAGAAACAGCCTGCGCAAACTCAAGGGGTGTTTAGCGCCTCCAGTTCGCTTAAACCGAGCGCCATCGGCAACCGGATGTAGACATTGAAAAAAAGCAACGACCAGTCAGTCTTCCAGAATTACAAT